ATGCGTCGCTTAACATACGTCACGCACTCCGTTGCTCTTATTGGTTGTAGGTCTATCCAATTGAGTGCAGAGGCATTTTTTTCCCTGGTTCATTTGAAAAACGCCCCATAATCACAGCTCTATGGAGCAGCATCAGACTCATATTCTGACTAGAATTGAGTAGGACTACGTCAGGCTAAGAATGAAGCAGAATGATGAAAATAGAGGTCCCTATGTCCTCCAGCAGTCTAAGCCTATAGCAGCATAACTATAGAAATAGCTCAGGATAACCCGAGCCACTATAACTATAAGCTTTATCAAAAAGGAAAGTTTTAAGCCTAGCCTTAAAAGTAGACAGGGTGTCTGCCTCACTGATGAAAACAGAACAAAAACAGTTCCCTCGTTATATTAAGTGAGCCAAAAAGCTTGTTGTGGCATCATAGGCCACTGATCTAGCAGATGAGACTGATTCTATCTGAATCAGCTGAAAGTGAAATGCCTTCATCACCCTTAAATTTAAACACAAGGGTATCAATCAGTGATTGTTTATGTGTCAGAAATCAATATCATATAAAAATGTGGCATCTTACAGGGGCCAGAACCAGGTCTATAGGGCCCCTGCAGAACCAGCCAAGCAAAATGGAAGCAAATTATTCACCTTTATTGTGAAATGATTTGTTGGTTGATGGTTTCCATCCATCCAGTCTGGGTTTAGATTATTTTGCAGAGGGATAGTAAAGCATTTTAATTTTTATAACTGTGGAAAGCTGCTCTCTTTCATCCACTTTACAATTATTGGTTTCTTTGTGTTTTTGTTCGTCTTCTTTCATTTACCGTTAAAAAAACACATTATTTACACAATTCAAACATATAAACTATTTTTGACATAAAAAAAAGGTGTCAGGTAAAAATCACTATTAATGCAAAAACAAGTTTTAGAAGCTTGTTAGTTGTCCTTCATCTGACACAATATAATGTTGTTAAAACCCCACAGCTGAATCAAATCCTCCATGTTCTTTGTGTCTCTGTGGAAGTGAAACTCCAGCCTTATTCTGCCTGAAAGAAAAGATGAAGAAAGAAAAATGAGAGAAAGTGGAAAACCATGTCTGGGACACATAAGGCATCACCTTGCGTCATTGTTGAGCTTCTGCTGCTCCACCTCCCTGCGTCACCCAGAGGAGAGAAAGAAAAAAAAAACTTTGTCAGCAGGAGACAGAGCTGACAGTCAAAATGCACACTTCACTCAAGCCTAGTCTGGTTCAACAAACTGTCACTTAAACCCAGTAAATACTCCCAGGAGAGAGGACATCTTTTTGCTGCTCCATGACAGATTCATAGCTCTTTTTAAATCCTTTCTCCTGCGTCTTTTGGCAATGTTTCCCAGCCCCAGCACGTCCACACCCTTCTCTGTCAAGGATATATTAAATTTAGAGCAGAATCCTGACCTGATGGGATCTTCTGTGGACTGCTCCACCTCCTCCTCCTCTTCCTGCATGTTGGCCCGCTTGAAGCAGGAGCCTCTCCGGGACATGTCCACCGCCAGCGCCGCCTCTCTCTTCCAGCAGGACATCCAGGAGTCCGATCCGGCCGGCAGAGGCAACTTTGCGCCTGCCTTTTATGGCAAACTGTCAGGGCTGGAAATGGAGAGGAGTGTGAAATCGGATGGGTTTGGGGAGAAACGAAGAAAAGGTGAGCAGGAAGCTGTCAGCCTGGGTTTTTTATTATTATTTTTATTTGAACAAGTCAGGGTAAGCGTAAAAAATGTGATATAAGATCGGAGTTTTATTTAATCTAAGGAAAATAATAAAGAAAAAAGTTTTAAGCATCCTAACACATGAAGCTCAGCAGCTTTACGTCAATTTCTCACATATAAAACGCGATTTAACTTTAAAAAACGCATAAAATATTCCTAAAATATATTTTTTTTTTCATCAGACACACATTTTTATTAATGTGAAGTAATAATATGCAACTTCAACTTAAAATACCTATCTTTTTAATAAATCCTTCATCATTTAAGATAAAAGAAATAGGCTGATATGGAATTATTTATATTATATTTAAACAAATACATCATTTAAAGATGAAAACTTTCTCTTGGTTCTTAGAACAAAACATTTTATTTTTTAGCACCAACTCTAATGGCAAAGAAAACTTAATGAATCTGAGCTTCTTAGCTGATATTCAATCCTCTAAACTTAATTATCAATGCTCTTTTTTGCACAACATGTTTTTTTTATTTCTCCTAAAACATCTGATTAAAATGGAAATGGTATACTAAGTCTAATAAACATTTAGGCCTACTTCATCTGGTATTAATTTATATGATCTTGCAGGTTTTTAAAAATATTTTAAGGAAGATTATTCTGGGATAAGAATTTATATATTTTTAAAGGAGCTTGAAACATGTTTTTATTATTTTGTTTAGTGCGGATTTCATTATTATTTCCATCGCCTGCATTAAGGGGGTGTGGTTTTAAAATTAAGTGAATTAATTACCTTTATTTTGGAAATTAAACTACTTTTTTTTAGCAATGAAAGTGTCTTAATTTCTGCAGTGAGTTATAATGAATATATATTTAAAAAACCGTTACCGGTATAACAGTTTCTCACTTTATAAAATCATACATGAAGCAATCAAACTTATGATTTATGTTTTATTTTGTATAATTATTTTATGTGCTGCAGAGGATTTCAGCGCCCCTGTGGGGCCCCTGGGGGACACAAAGTCCGAGGACCTGGAGCGGCCCAAGCCTCGGAGGCGCAGGAAGCCGCGCGTCCTCTTCTCCCAGGCGCAGGTGTATGAGCTGGAGCGCCGCTTCAAGCAGCAGAGGTATCTGTCCGCCCCGGAGAGAGACCACCTGGCCGGGGTGCTCAAACTCACCCCGACCCAGGTCAAGATCTGGTTCCAGAACAGGAGGTACAAATGCAAGCGGCAGAGGCAGGACCAGAGCCTGGAGATGGTGGCCCTGCCGCCGCCCAGGAGGGTGTCTGTTCCGGTGCTGGTGCGGGACGGGAAGCCCTGCCTCGCGGGAGAGGCGGCCTCCTATAACCCGTCCTACAGCGTGGGAGCCATCAACCATTTGGCTTATAACAGCTACCCGGCCTTCAGTAACTACAGTAACTACTCGGGCCCCGGCTGCAACACTAACTACGCCTGCGGCTACCCAGCAGGCGCGGCGCAGAGCGCGTCCAGCAGCGGGAACTACATGAACTTTGGGATGGGAGACCTGAACAATGTCCAGAACACATTTCCTCCCAGTAACGGAGTTTCCTCTCTGCACGGCATCAGGACGTGGTAACAAAACCCTGAAATAAAACTCATTCAGTGTGAGCAGAGCCTGCATGCGGATTTCTAAAGGACTATTTATAGATTCATACATATTCCCATTTGGCTTGTTTTTCTTTTTCAGCACCAGTTCTTTAAAACTTTCAATAATGGCGCACAGTATAATTTATGCGCAAATAACACTAATTATAAAAAAAAAAAAAAAAAAAGGTTGGAATATAAGTTCATAGTTTTCGTTTTGAATTTCAGATTTTTCAGAAAAGTTTCCTTTTTATTTTCTCCCTGTTATCAGTACTAGTAATTTTATAGAAATGTGCCTAAACCTGATGGTTTGCTTCAAATTTTATTTGTATAAAAATATTCTTTAACACAATACAGAATTTTGAAATTATTTGACTTAAATTATTTGTGTTTCACATACATTCAGCGTTCAAAAATAGTTCATTTCTTTAGAAATTGGCAACACATTTGGAATAAATTCACATAATTTAATAAAGGAAAATATTTTATAAAACTGCAAACATTTCATTTCTTTTGGGGGATAAAATAAAATCAGATTTCACTTACAACTCATTTTAATTGGTTAACAAAATTAAGGATGATCTAATAAGGTCATTTTTAACTTAATTGAGTTCTAAAATTTGGACAGAAAAAAACTATAAAAGTGCAGCTAGTTACAGTGGCTTATATTATAAATGAATATATTAGATAAAAAACTTGCTATTTATGGGTAAGCTTTAAAAAATAAAAGCAAATGTAAAAGTTAAACCTGCTCACAAATTAACTTTAGGCTATCATTGTAATAAATTACATTTGGTAACTGATTGTTATCCTGTTGGAAGTTTCACAGCATAGATCTAAAACAATCAGATTTAAAAGATAATCTAAATCCTTTGCACTTTTTGGCAAACATGAACAAACTAATACCAGGAATTAGGAATAAGTTAAGCTGTTAAACTTGCTTATATAAATCTACCTGAATGAAATGTGTGCAAATACATGTTTAAAAATAATTAAAAAAAAAGTTTATTTTGGATTTAAAACAAAAGCAAGTTGGAAGTGGTGTGTAAAAAGGAAATATAGCCCGCTGCCTGTTAGTGGCATACTGACAGAATGAGCTATAAACCCTCATAATGGAGATTAGCGTGTGTTGAAACCGCTGGCGTGGTTCATGTCAGGTTAAAATGTTCAAGTGGCTGTTAGAAAGCTTCAGTCGTTTTTACTTAAACAAGGTGAAAAGGTTGTTAAAAGTTTATTCGCTTTTTTACAACTTTCTGTCAGCCACCTCTGCTGCGTACACAAACGCTTAAAGGCCGCTGGGACAGAGCCATGACCTTGACCTGCAGTAAACCTTTAGAGACTGTTTCTTTATTTAAAAATCCTGCTTTTGCTGGGATTTTATCGTCTCCTGCTTAAGCTTTTATGTTTCACCTTTTACTTAGAAATTAAAATGAAAGGTTTATTTAAAACTTATGACTGTAATCAGTCAAAGTGTAACAATAGCAACGCTTTAAGAATGAAGCTTAAACAGCAACAAATGGACAAAATCGTTCCAGCAGTTATACTGGAGATGGTAAAAAAAACGTGTTGAATATAACTCTGTTTCGGATAATATTTTTCAAAAAATTATTTTACTAAACATTAGTGTGTAAATTAGGAAGACCTCTCAGAGACCGGTGGGTAATGGACACCATATAGCGGAGGTCTTCAACAGGGGGTCCGTGACCCCTAGGGGGTCCATGGAGGTACTGCATGGGGGTCGCGAAAGTTTGGTCGATAAGACTTATTTTTTTACATTCAACCCTGGATTTTTTCCTCTAATTGAATTGTTTTTAAATTCACATTAACATGAATTCATCCAACATATTCTCATTATCAGTTCGTATGAAACCGTACGAAAAGTTATGCACA